CCTGGCTAGGACAGATCTCTTGGTTTTAAAATAACCAATTACAGTGATACCTCGGTTCTCGAACGCCTCGGATTTTGACCAAATCGGTATTCGACCAGGAGATTCGAGAAACTTTTGTCTTGGAATCCGAACAAATATTTGGAACTCGAACTTCCGAGATGAGCCGAGTTGAGCCGAATGGCGTTCATTCGGCCCAGCGCGCCTTGCTTGCGCCATTAGTGTGAGTGCAGAGAGAGAGTCACGCTTTGTGGAGAGAGTCACGCTTTGTGGAGAGAGTCACGCTTTACACTGAATTTAACCCTTAGACATACTGTACACTTTTATTTCTTGTTGAGACTTATGTTTTTCTACATATTATATACAAATTAGGCCAGTAAATAGGCATTTTCTGGGGCTTGGAACGAATTAATCCAGTTTCCATTATTTCCTATTGGGGTTCATTGCTTCGGTTCTCGAACAATTTGGTTCTCGACCGTCCTCCTGGAACGAATTATGTTCGAGAACCGAGGTATCACTGTATCTCAATGCAATGTGATGAATCCAATTTTAAAAAACAGCTCACCAAAGCTATCCTCTGGTCATAGATACCTTAAGAGAATGTGTTCTCATTTCACACAATTCAGAAATATTCAAGGTACCTTGTGCATTGGCCCATATAATATATTTAAGCTAATTAAATGTTAATATTGGAATTGCATTTGATTGCAAATAACCAAAAACCAACCCAAAGGGCTTACACAAATTAGAAATTTCTTTCCTTAAAAACAACAGGTTTAGAAGTAGACGGTTTCTGGGATTGATTCTACAGTTCAAGAATATCAACAAATACACAATTGTCCTGGCCCCTTCCGTGGTCTGGAAAGGGCTGTTGCAGCTCCAGCTATTACAGTATCCACGTTCCAGAAAGGAAACAGGAAGAAATGACAGGAGGAAGGGTTCGTCAGTGCCTAGTTAGGGCAAGAAAACAAAATTTTTCGGAAATCACAAGTAGACTTCCACTTCTTATTAGCAAGAACTATGTCACATGGCCATGTCTAGTTTCAAAGTTATTTTTAGCTAGTCACGCTGCTGTGCTGAACAAAATCTTGGTTTTGTTAATGAAGGAAACTATAGAAATCGGGGAGCAGCCAGCATGGTGTGCCTTCCCAGTTCCACCAGTTGACACCATTTCCTTAGTAACTGACAATGGGCCAATCTTTAAAATCCTCCTGACCCCAGAACTGTCTGAATTTGTAACTGTTGAAAAGAGATTCACAGATAGGAAGCATTTGAAAGTGGAAGACAGCAAGTAGCCCTGGCCACACCCGGCATATGCTGCCCCAACCACCCGCCTGGCTTTTTTCCAAAGAGCTGGACTCATTCTGCTTAACCTTGTTTCTCTGGCCCCACTTCTGAGCGTCACATAGGCCCTGGCTTTTATGAACTCGTAATTACTTAGCTGAGTTAGAATACAATTTATTCAGATGGAGCTTTTCTGTAGTTACATTCTTCATCCTCAAGCTAATGTATGGCCTGGACTACGTGACTGTGTCCAGTTCTTTGTAACACAGTTATAAACCGTCTCTGGAGACGGCAGTCTTCTGATGTGACTATGTTCAAACCCTGACATTGGTTGTTTCTGTCTTAATGGATGGCTTTTGGTAGACCTGTCCCCAGGTTGCCCTGACTGTGGTAAATGCTGACCATGCTCGCCATGTGGGTAATCTTTGCAGAACGGAGTATTGGATTTTACCATTTTATATTAAGCTCCTCAGTAGAGAAACAATTTAGAAATTTATTTTTTGGTGGAGTTTTTGAAACTCACGGTAATGCTCATGTTAGACCTGGGATCTCTGTTAACACACAACTACTGTGTTCTCTGCGGTGACCTCTTCCCCATAGACGTAGCCCATTCGTTACTGCTGTCGCACCTTCTGCCCGTGCACAACACAGACCCACTTCTCAAACATGCACCTTTGTCAGGCAGGTACATGGGAACCCCCACCGGGTCAGGCAGCACTTGGGAAGTAACCATCATGTCACGAGTCTGCAGAGTTCTTTTCCATATAAATGTACTGTGGCACCTAAGAGGGCCCCTTCGGTACTACCACAGAGGCATACTTAATCATTGTGAAAATGCCATAGTAATCACTGTCAGTATATTAACTCACAAGTTCTTGGGAATACTTACAAAATAAAATTGTAAAGATTTATCTCCGACAGTGCATTTTCTCACATACTTCAAAACTTACAAATGAGAATAGGTAGAAGAAAAATGGAGTCCCAACAAAAATACATTAATTACATAGGAAATTAGTGCCATTTCAAATCAGTATGGGAAAGATGCATGAAAATGAAGACAAACAATCTAATTTAAAAATGGGCAGAGGACCTAAATAGACACCTCTCCAAACAGGACATACAAATGGCCAAGAGACATATGAAAAAATGCTCAACATCACTAATCATCAGAGATGCAAATTAAAATGACTGAGATATCACCTCACACCAGACAGAATGGCTGCCATCAACAAATCATCAAACAAGTGTTGGCAAGGGTGTGGAGAAAAGAGGACTCTAGTGCACTGCTGCTGGGAATGCAGACTGGTGCAGCCACTATGGAAAACAATATGGAGTTTCCTCAAAAAATTAAAAATGGAACTGCCATTTGACCCAGTGATTCCACTTCTAGGAATATATCCTAAGAAGCCTGAAACACCAATCAGAAAGAATATATGTACCCCTATGTTCATAGCAGCACTATTTACAATAGCTAAGATCTGGAAACCACTCAAGTGTTCATCAGTAGACGAGTGGATAAAAAAGCTGTGGTACATTTACACAATGGAGTACTATGCAGCTGTAAGAAAGAAAGAGCTGCCTGACTGGTGTGGCTCAGAGGTTAAGCAGTGACCTCATGCACCAAGAAGTCACTGGCTCTCTTCCTGGTCAGGGCACATGCCCAGGTTGCAGGCTTGATCCCCAGTGAGGGGGGGGGGGGTGCAAGAGGCAGCCAATCAATGTTTCTATCTCTCCCTCTCCCTTCCTCTCTCTAAAATAATCAATAATAAAAAAAAATTTTTTTTAAAGATCTCTTACCCTTTGAGTCAACATGGAGGGATCTGGAGAGTATTATGCCAAGCAAAATAAGCCAGTCAGAGAAAGACAAGTACCACATGATCTCACTTATTTGTGGAATATAATGAACAAAATAAGCTGTCAATCAAAATAGATCCAGAGACATGGAAGTAGGGAACAGACTGACAACCCTCAGAGGGAAGGGGTTTGGGAAGAGATAAGCCAAAGAACTTATATGCATACATACACAACCAATGGACAGACAATAGTTTGGGGAAAGCAGGGGGTGGGAGCAGGAAGAAGGGGGTTAGTAGGGGAAAAAAGGGGGGATATCTGTGATACTTCCAACAATAAAGATAAATTAAATTTTTTTTTAATTTTTGGAAAAAAAAGATAAATGAGTCAATGTGTGATATTGGGACAATTAACCATAAAATTAGATTAACACATCATACAGAAAAACAAATTCAAAATGCTATAAAATATGCGCATACTTAGTTACTAAAAGCAAAATAGAAGTATGTGGGAAATATTTTTAATGTAAGAAGAGAGAAGAGGGACAGGCTTTACAATGCCAGGCAGCACACCCGGCAGGGACTTCTTTCACAATCACAATCCACATAAAAATATAATTATTCTGACACTCGACAGATATCAAGGTCAAAAACATTTTTAAAGGCTAATACAGCTTAATATGTAAAAAATATAAAACTCCTGTACAGCAAAAGATATTACAGAAAAACAAAAGATAAAAGAGTAGGTCAAATGCTGGCGAAACATAGAGCGAAGTGTCACTATCCGTAATGTGTTAAGATTTATCGATCACAAAGGAAAAACTATACTAGAAAAGTAAGCAAAGGATGTGAACAGGCAAGTGATCCTGAAAAAAAATACTCAAAATTGTTACAATGCAATTTTAAATGAGATATTTTCACGAATCAAAGTTGATCATAGATGGTGGGACTGGGAAGCCAGACCCTCTGAGACACCACTGTGCACACAGCGTCACCGGAGAGCAATCTGTCAACGTGTTAATGTGCAACGGGCCTGGCAATTCAACTTGTAGGAAGTGATCCTGCAGAAATACTCGCAGGTGTTTGTAGCAACATTATAATGCCAATCAGCTGAAAGCTCTCTACGTATCTATGAATAAGGAATGGTTAAATCTACATGTCTATGAATAAGGAATGGTTAAATAAGTTAGTCCTTCCATGCAGTGAGATACTTCTACGAAGCCACTGTTCTGAAGAATGAGGTAGGTCGACGCAAACTGACACGTGAATAGGTCCGTAACATGTCCTTAAGTGACTTACGAACCAGTATGTATGGCATGAGCCCAATGTTTTTAAAGTGATATAACGTGTAAACAAAAATTAGAAGGTTATACATGTGCCTATCATCGGGGAGCGAAACTATGGGACATTGACCTTTTAACCTCAAGTGTTTGTTAACTTTCCTCTGAATTTGTATTATATCTAACTCCAAAAAGACTTTCAAGCCCTTAAAACTTAACAATCATTTGAGAAAAGGCCTGTTTTTGGTAAGAGCTATGTGCTTGCTCGCCAGGGCTACAAGGGGCCTTCCCAAAGCCGAGGAAGTGGGTTCAGCCTGTCCTTGCCCTGAAGAATGAGATGACGGCTCCACAGAGCCCCTGCTGTGAGGTTCAAATCCACACCGTGAGGACGACTTCACACAATGAGCATTGCTCTGCACTGCGTGGGAAGACACGAACTCCATAGCTAGTAAATACCTTGTGTAAGCCCCAAAAGGACTCCCTGAAACAGGCAGAACACGTTCTCGAAAAGGGATCCTGTAACAACTTACAATCCACGCAAAAATATAAACATTGCCACGGGCCCTGCCAATGAGATGCACGCTTCTGCCCCGCACCATCTTTACTGGCTGCGGAGGAAGCCGGCGTCCAGTCCGCCCAGCAAGCCCGCCTATGCCTGTGAGGACATGTGGCCCGCGGGCTGGAGAGCGCGGGGATCCATCGGCTCTGACGGCCCCGGGGTTACGGCAACTTCTTCATTCGCGCCCAAGAAAGCGCTGGTCTCTCTGGGCGCGGTGCACCGGCTGTTACGGCAGCCCTCTGCCCGGCCTGCCTTGCTTCTGTGGTCACTCTTCAGTCTCCTCTTGTACAACTTATATGCTAGATGTTAAAATATAAAAGTATTTAAAAATCACTTTGGTAAAGATGACAATTTGCTGACCTTGTGCACTTGTCCATACTTGGGGAATTCGTCTGCTTTGGGTCACTTATGGTATAAACACAGGGAAAAGGGAGGGCGGGAGGAAAAGGAGAGGAAGCTATGAAACAAAATAATTCAGTGTATCAGAATGGCCATTTCTGTCCGGAATGGACCATGTGTGAATGAGGTGTGTCACCGGGTCACTGACGGCTCATCGGTGTGTCTGTCAGTCCGCCCGCAGCTCTGAGTGCGGCCCCGGAGTCAGGCGCTCCCCTGGGCGCTGGAAGACAGCTGGGCCACCCAGCTCCTCCCATCACCGTCTCCCCATGAGACGGAATTCAAACTGAGTCTAAGACCAGGACTTTTATTGTTAGGATTTCTCATGTTTTGTAGGAAAATATTTATTCCTTATATTGCTTGTTGTATCAGTAGTCAGTATATAATCAGTTGCATCAGCAATCACAGACTTACTCAGAGCCAGTTCCCTAGCAACAGTGAAAACTGACCATGGGCCCTGGCGGGTTTGGCTCAGCAGTTAGAGCGTTGATTCATGGACCGAAGGGTCTGGAGTTCCGTTCCGGGTCAGGGCACGCACCTGAGTTGCAGGTTCGATCCCAAGCCCCAGTTGGAGGCAGCCAATCAATGTGCTTCTCTCTCATCATCTCTCTCTCTCTCTCTCTTTCTCTACCCCCCCCACTCTATCTAAAAATCAATAGAAAAATATCCTCAGATGAGGATTAACAACAACAAAAAATTGACCATGGCCCAAGATTAAAATACATATGTGTGTGTCATATCTACCCATCCATATTGTTTTTAATTTACCTTCTGTGGATCTAAATAGTGATTGACTCCAAAATGATGTACATTTGGCTGTATGGATAGATAAGCATTTATATATATATATATATATATATATATATACACACACACACACACATATAATTTCAACATTTGTATATATATTATACTTCACAGTTGAAAAATATGTCTCAGCCATTCAGCACAATTCTCAGTCACAAGAACACTGTGAACTAACTTGACATTTGGCTCTTGATGAAACAGAATAAATGTCAGGTTTGAAATAAAGGATTGCTCGTGGAGATATCAATCCTGAAATCTAAGTTCTGATAGTGCAGTTTTTTGTGAAGCATACTTGTTAGTAACTGTAAGTTCACTTCCCCATGTCTTTTTATATTTTCCTGTGAAACTTCCACTTGGTGGCAAAGGATCTTGTTTAGGCACTTTATTTCCCCCCATAATGTCAGGCTAAAACTATCACAAGGGTGGCAGGTGCATGTTTGGATTGGAAAAGGAGTCAGTAAGTTGAGTCAACAGTTTTCAATCAAGTGTATCCAAAGGGGCTCTACCTACCTGCAACAATGAGAAATCCATCCAACATCTGGAAGAGTGCAAAGGCCAATGGGAAGCTAAGCATCTGGACCATCTGCTCAGCAGTGAAAGATAACTGGAGCACAGCAATGCACATCTGGATATTCTGAGCTCCGGTTTCTAAGGAAATTGTCCTGCATCTACAATGAAAAATGTTTTCCAGAGTTACACACTAGCAATAAGGACTGTTCTTAAATGTTCTCTTACAAATAGCAATAAATGTAAGCTACCAGCTTAGGCCACTAAAAATGTTACTCCTTCAATAATTATTTGCTGAGTGCCTACTCTGTAGGGGTCTCCTGAGAGGCACTTGGGAGTAGGGCCCTATGACCCCTGCCCTAGGGACCTGCTTGAAAAGTTAAGATGTGCGCACAGTTCAGTAACACCGCCAGACACAGCAGGGAGAGGTTATGGATATTTAGAAAAGAGGGGTCAACGGTTAGAAAGGGCCTCACAGAGGAAGAGTGGGGTTAAAGGATGGAGAGAGGGGAAGAGGCATTTAACGTGGGACAGTGACTGAAATTAAAGTTCCAGAGAGAGGTGTGAGCTGGGCCTAGCGGGAGGCACTGCACGCGCTGTGAGCAGAGGCTTGGAGGAGAGAAGGGAGCGTGGAGTTAGAGACGTAAAACAACATAAACTGAACGACACTTGAAAGTAAACACAAACACCTTAAATAAAACCCAAATGTCTAAAATGGTTTATTTGATGAAAGGTTTAGTAATGAGTTTTTTCCACTTTCCTATATTTTATTGGTTTTCTAATTGCTAAAACTAAAACCTCACTTGGAAAAGAAAAGGCAGGAGAGAGAAAAAGGAAGACCTGGGCAGGACCTTGAGGGCTGGGTCAAGCAGTTTCCTCTCTCTCCAGGTAATAAAGGGAGTCCCTGCCCTGGCCTGTTGGTTCAGCGGTTAGAGCATCGGCCTGCGGACCAGAGAGTCTGGGTTTTTACGCGTGGAAGTGAACAGAAGGAGGTGTTGTGGGGAGTAAACCAGCATCTCCATGCAACCCAGACTGCAATGTGGGTATGGAACGTGGAAGGGAAAATGTTGTCACTGGTGCAGGACAAGTTCTGTGGCTCTTATTTTATTTCTAGTTACCCTATTCCTTGCTATGCTTTCTTCAGACTACCCTAACTTCTTTCAGACCCCCGTCAATAACTTGAGATGATTACGCTGAAAACTGGACCTCACACCTGGACCACTCACTGGGCACATGCAATATCTCAGTCCTGATTTTTCTTACACCATCAGATGTGAAAAAGAGAGAGAGAGGTTGTTGACTATACTTTGTTATAGGAACGCTTTCTCTCCAGATCCAATTATATTTCAGCCACTCAACAGTCTGTGTTCCTAACTTTGGAAACAGACCCAGATCCAAATCCTAACTCAACCACATTCTGACTCAATGAACTTGGTCAAGTTGCTCAACTTCTCTGAAGAGTTTGCTCATGTGCAAAATGAGATAATATCTATCTCTCAGGCTTGCAGTAACTGAATGAGATACTCTTGGTGGAGCCTCACCCAGTACGTGGTATAAAGCCAATTAAAAATTCCCCAAACTCCACCTTTGGAATTCAACTGCATAGTTAATTCTTTTCCGATTTTAAAAGTAGCACATGCTCAATGAAAAACATAAAATAGATACCAAAAATATTAAGCAACTAAAATTAGTCTTAATCCCACTACTCAAAATAAACATTATTAGCATATCGTGTATTTCTTCCAGTATTTTTCCATGCATGGAATTCTTGTTCTGCTTTCTATAAGATGGGAATCAAAATGCATACTGTTTTCCATTCTTTTTTAACTCAAACTTATCTCTTAAGTATTTTCCAAAAGCATTAAAATAGCCACATCATGAATTAAATCTCTGTGTTGTTAGATATTTAAATTGTTTCTATTTTTTATATGTATGAATAACACTGGAGTTAGCATCCTTGCACATCAATTTTCATGCATTTGTCTGATAGCTTCAAGACAGAGTTCTAGATATAAAACCACTGAGTTAACTATAAATATGTATAAGTCCATTGATATGACTTGTCTTTTAGAGAGTTTCTACCAATTTATGTTACCCCCAACAGTGTATAATAATGCTTTTCTCATCTATTCCAATAACATAAAATATTATCATTTTTAATATTTCATAGCATTTACAAATTATATTCCCCAACTTGTAATGATAATATTTAAGATACATTTCTATTTTATTTCTCAAGTTTTCCCTTTCTCTTCTTGCCCCTCATAAGTACTACTTTTTAAAGACCGGCACAAACAATGCATATATGCTTAATCTCCTGAACTTGCTCATGCCCTTGAACAGTCTCTGTATTAAGTGAAACCGTTTCACCCCCTCCTGTCTAACTAATAGACTATGAGGAGAAAGGTGCCCAGATTACAAGTGGCAATTTCACAGATTACAACTTCCATCAGTTTGGCCTTTGCTTTCATTTACATAATGAATTACTCTGATCTTTTCGCCCTCTTTATGATGAGCTGTCCTGTTCATCCACCTTGTAACTCAAACCTCTTTGTGTTTCCAGACACAGCCAGACAGCAAAGCCTGCCCAAGGCCGTGTGTTTCATTTATTCTTCTCACAAAGTTTATGGATAATTGAACTGTACCTCTGCCAAGAGTGGTGGGTAAGAAGAGCCAGCAGAAAGCCCGTGACATAGCCAGTCAAAGGAAAGATGAAACTGACGGTCAGTAGGGTGATGTCTGGATTCAAAGATTCTTTCGCCAGCACCAAACCAGCAACTGTGATCACCAAAAGGAGGACCCCACCAACAATGGCCCCAGTCTAAAGCAAACCAATAAAATAAGGACACGTAAACATCATGGTCTTATGTTCTATGATGCAAAGTCCATCACTGCTCTAAAAAGCTTGGGTCAAATGGAAGTTCCATTTTTAATTTTTTGAGGAAACACCATATTATTTTCCATAGTGGCTGCACCAGTCTGCATTCCCACCAGCAGTGTGCAAGAGTCCCCTTTTCTCCACACCCTCGCCAACACTTGTTTGATGATTTGTTGATGGTGGCCATTCTGACAGGTGTGAGGTGATACCTCATAGTCATTTTAATTTGTATCTCTCGGCTGACTAGTGACATTGAGCATTTTTTCATGTCTTGTGGTCATTTGTGTGTCCTGTTTGGAGAGGTGTCTATTTAGGTCCTCTGCCACTTTTTAATTAGGTTCTTTGTCTTCCTTTTGTTGAGTTGTATGAGTACTCTATATATTTTGGAAATTAGCCCCTTATCTGACGTATCATTGGCAATTATGATCTCCCATATAGTGAGTTCCCTTTCCATTTTGATGGTTGTTTAATGTAGACCAGAGACATGGAAGTGGGGTGCAGACTGGCAAACCTCAGAAGAGGTGGATGTGGGGGGAGGGAAGAGATAAACCACAGAACTTTTACCCATGTATGTGTAAACAAGGACATAGACAATAATGCTGGGGAGGCGGGATTGGGAGGAGGGTGTCAATGGGAGGAAAAAGAAACATCTGTAACAAAAATTAATTAATTAATTTAAAAAATGAATAAATAAAAGTAGTGCATTTCAACAAAAAATAAATAAAAGAAAATAAACAGTGACAATACCAAATACTGGTGATGATGCAAAGAAACTGGATCTCTCTTACATTACTAGCATAAATATAAAAATGGTAGAGTCACTCTGGGAAATAGTTTAACAGTTTTTTTAAATACTAAACTTAAACTTACCATTAAACCAAGCAGGTGCACCTCTGGGATATATCCTGGAGCACTGAACGCTGCTGCCTACACAACTTACACATGAATGTGCACAGCAGCTTTACTTGTAATAGACCCCAACACTACCCGAAAACTACTAAAAAGTTCCTCAGTAGGTGAATAGTAGAATTATGCTAATCCATACTGTGGAATACTGCTCAGAAATGAAAAGGAATGAACTGTATTGATACATACAGCAACTTGGATGGACCTCAAGAGCATTAGCTAAACAAAAAAGCCAATCTCCAAAGGTAAAAATAAAATAAAATAAAAAGCTTGGAACCTAGAAGCTTTAGAACAAAGAGAGGACTTAGAGACCACTGAATCCAGACTCATTTTACAGAGAATAACCTGGGGTCCAAAGTAGTCAAGTGACTTGGCTAAGCTAGAAACTGATGAGGCTCGATGAGTCTTCTTGTTTTATGACCAGTATCTTTTTCCTTCAAGTAGAGGATTTGGCCAGAAGGATTGGGTAGTAGTTTTCATGGATAGAACATATTTGTGAAATAAGTGCAACCTGACAATAACCATCCAGCATCCCTACACACACCTCTTAGACACCTCGCTGGCAACCTCTCATGAGATCTGCCCTGCCTGACCATCCGCCACTCTCTTCCCAGCACCCCTCCAACCACTGACAGCTTCTTACTGCTTTGATCCCTGCCCTTTTCTCCTCCAAATGAAATTTACCCATTCTTCATTAGACAACCTGAGCTAAATAGTGTAGTATGAGAGATACTGATAAATACTTATATCCTCTCCCTAATGAATACCGTCTCTTTCTTTTGTTGTTTAGCAGAAACAACAACAACAACAAATTTTCCAGTGGTTTGAGTTTGAGATCAGATAGGAAAGAAGCAAGACCTAGACTATTTGGGGAAGACTGGGATCTTGGCAAGCGCCCATTCATACCATGTGACGGCAAATGATACACCCAGTTACAGCATCAACCTGGATTTGAAATGATTCAGGGTGTGGAGGAAGGTAGTCATGGGTAACCAAAACAAAACGAAAACAACTCAGTGTACCACACATGTGTTCTGGGGGTCACTTTTACTGTCCAAACACAGGGACGGACAGACTGGCCCCGTCTCACAGGAAGATGTTGGGACACACAACAACGACCTGTGGTTATAAAAATCCCTCTGCCTCTTTCTAGCAAAAAAGGGATGTAAAAGTTTAAAATTCACCAAAAGCAGTTTGTTTAGAAAATGAGTGATATCTTAAATTAAAAGAGGGTTAAAACTAGAGATTGAAGATATACAAAAATAATGATCAAATTGTCCCAGTCTTCTTACTAAGGTGCTCTAGAATATTTATAAATATTATTAAAGATTTTCTGCTACAAATCCTATGGAATAGCCAAAGGAAAGGGGTTTTAAATCTGCTCTTTAGAGAAATAAAACTGACTACAGGAAATTTATCTGATTTCCCCATTGACACTGACTCTGAGAGGATCTGGAAACACCAAAATCATGCCTTTTTTGTTAGATGCCCTTTTAAGGAAATAATCAAAAGCAGCATACTTGAAAAGTAAGGGGTTCCCATGACCACATTTTCTTCTCCTGTTTTACAAACAAAATGATAACCATAAACTGCCACATTGGAAATTTTCTCCTACCGAAATAACAAAGGCGGTCCTGTGCAATCCAAATGCACAACACGGAAGCCTTCCTCCCAGGCTCTGCGCCCCACCCCTCACCGGTCTGCCTGTGCCCTTTCTCAGTCGGCTTGGCTCGCTGGGGACGGTGGCAGGGGCGTGGCCTTTGCCAAACGGGGAGAGCAGCATCCATCTGCGCAGGCAAGGGGAGCCCGTGTTCTGCCAGGCAGCGCCAAACAGCAAGGGCTTAAACCGAACCTAACTGTGCACCCCAAACTAAAAGGGACTCAGATATATTTGCTGAACCTCCAGTTAGCCCCAAATGTTTATTTCTTTATCAATGTAAAGTGTGCCCAGCCGGTGTGGCTCAGTGGATTGAACATTGTTCCATGGACTGAGAGGTCCCGGTTCGATTCCCGGTCAGGGCATGTGCCTGGTTTCAGGATCCATCCTTGGTGGGGGCTCGTGCAGGAGGAAGCTGATCGCTGTTTGTCTCACATCAATATTTCTCTCTCTCTCTTTCCCCCTTCCTCTCTCTCTAAAAAATCAATAAAAGCATATTTTAAAAAATAAGTATAAAATGTAACTAAAACATTTTTTCAACTCTTCATGAAAGCAGCACATAACACAAGCTTCTAAAACAATATGTAACTGGAAAATTAGAAAGCATCCCAGGAGATTAACACCCTTGTTGAGAATGTCTTCTCAATAGCTAGTTTTTGTTTTTGTTTTTTTATCCTCACCCGAAGACATTTTTTGATATTTTGTTGTGATTGGGAGGGGGGAGGAGAGAGAGAGAGAGAGAGAGAGGAACATCAATGTGAAAGGGACACATCGAGTGGTCGCCACCCACACGACCCAACCAGGGCCGGGGACAAACTGAAACCAAGGTACGTGCCCTTAGCGGGAACCGAACCCGGGTCTCTCCAGACCGCAGGCCAACGCTCTAACCGCTGAGCCAAACCGGCCAGGGCAGCTAGATAGTTTCAAGAGCCATTTAACGAGGACATGTGCTCAACAGCCCTGGAAAGCCAAGAGGAGGCCGGTGGTCCGGGCACCGGTGTTCCACGGCCAGACTGGTGTGCTCTGCTTTCACTGGGACCATTCTTCACAGCCCTTGCCATGTATACTAACTGCAACTTTATTTTTTTTAGTTTTTTTTTTTTTTTTTATTGATTTTTAGAGAGAGAAGAAGGGAGAGGGAGAGACAGAAACATAATGAGAGAGAACATCAACTGGCTGCCTCCTGCATGCCCCCCACTGGGGATCGGGCCCACAATCTGGGCATGTGCCCTGACCGGGAATCGAACCAGTGACCTCTGGGTGTGTGGATCGATGTTCAACCACTGAGCCACACTGGCCGGGCCTAACTACAACTTTAGAAGGTCCCCCAGGAATGTTTCTGCAAGATGGCCCTTGTGTGGGTGGCAGCCACTCCATGTGTCCCTTTCACGTCAATGTTTCTCTCTCTCTCTCTCTCTTCCTCTCTCTCTCTCTACACTATCTGAACAAAAAAATGGAAAAATGTCCTCGGGTGAGGATAAAAAAAAAAAGAAAGAAAGATGGCCCTTGTCCCTGCTCTTCCATGAAACCATCTGCGCCCCCTAAACACTGGTGCCCTTTCTGCCCCACCGGACAGCGGCCGCCTGGAGCGCACCTGCGGGAACCCTGTGAGGGGATGGGCCCCGGCTCCGGCCACACAACGGCCTCCGCTCTTCTGTCACTCCAGCAAGAGTCCCACACTTCCCAGGGTGTCCAAGCCGCAGGTGGTGGGTCTATGGGAGCGACAGAGCAAGGCTTAGAGAAGCGGCGGAAATGTGGAGGTTGGATCCAAAAATGTAGGACACGCAGGGAAAATTGCTGGGTGTGGGACGGTGCCTGACTGGCGTGTCTGTTTCAGGCATTGCTACACCGGCCTGTCCCGTCTCCGAGTCTGAGGACGTGCTCACTGGCAGGCGGAGCTGCTTACCTTGAGGATGATTTTGGATTGTTTCGGGCACCTGTAATTCACGTAGACACCGAAGGCCACGGGAATAGTCAGGCACACAAGGGAAATTCCTGAAGAGAAGAAAAACCCGTCAGACGGCATCCCCTCTCGCCCCAACCGCACAGTCCTCAACGATCTGTTTCGATTAGATGGAAGCTGTAATTAAAGCTGCATTTTGTTCCTGCATCCACCTCCAATTTTTTTTAACCTTTGAAGGATACTGAACGCCACCATACTGGGCCCATCACTTCTCCCACCGTCCCTCTGACAATCACAGGGAATGTTAGAGACAACTGGAAATGTAAAGGTTAGCAGACAGGAGGACCCTGTTTAATCTGTGACCTTCTTTGGTTCTGTGTTTGGGGTCATCCTCCACAACCAAAGCTGGTATTCCTTATTCGAAGCCAATGGGTCACAAAGTAAGAATACCTGTTTCAGACATAAAAACAGCATTTGTTGCACATACCAAAGCAATGTCTCATATTCTCCAAGTGTAGCTAGGTAACCCAAAGGCAGGTAGAAAAACAATGTCTTTTTTTTTTTTTAATCCTCACCAGAGGATATTTTTTACATTTATCTTCAGAGTGGGAGAGAGAGAGAGGAAAAAAAAATTGATGTGAGACAGACACATCGATTGGTTGCCACCGGGGCAACCGCAACCAAGGTACGTGCCCTTGGTTGGTATTGAACCTGGGACACTTTGGTCCGTGGGCTGACATTCTAACCACTGAGCCAAACCAGCCAGGGAGGAACACAATGTCTTTTAATAAACACAAGTGAATAAAGCCATTGAAGGCAGGTTCAGTAGAGCAGGGGTCATCTTGCCAACAGCATCGCATGCTGACATTTCCAGAACCACTTTCCAAACCTGGCCCAATGCCTGCAATACTGGCTCCAAAGTTAGATGAATTGCTCATATTTTGGGTTTTAATTATTGACAAGAGTCTTTCAGAATATGTCATCAAAATAGATCTTAAGTAACTTACTGATCAGAGAAGGTTGCACATAAAATCATGATCTCTAAATTAAGATTTAACTCAAATTTTACAAATTCAGTGGTCCAGCTGTTACCAGGAGATGGCACTAGTCAGGGTTTTGAAATCTGGACCATGGGTTGTAAGCCCTCCACAGGCTTACTTGAGACTCCAGACTGACACTTCAGAGTTTTAAGAATCAGAGTTTCTAACCAGTTTTCCAAAGACTCTGACCAAACTAGAACAGGCGGATTATTTCACCAAGTTCTTCTTCCAAGCCTAGTGAGTCCACAATAGGAAAAGGGCAGGTGAATGAGAAATAATATTCAGGAAAAGAGATAATGAAAAAGATACGGGTGAGAGTTGTGACACATGAACACCCTTCAATAATCAGTAGGTATCAGGTATGTTGCTCAGTAAAGATGTCAAGGCGCACAGGCCATGGGATGGTGGAGCTGTGGGAACTAAGGTGTCGTTGGAGTCAACTGTGATTCAGGTAAGTTTTTGGTCATAATGAGTGCAATTGCTTTCAGTAGATTATGTAAATTGTTAATGAATACGTTTCCTGGCTTTATTTTCAAAAGTGAACTCTTGTCGGGGTTAAGAGTTTAGACTCTGCAATCGGGTTCTTGAGTCAGAATTCTAGTTCTGCCATTCCCAGCGGCACAAAAATGGTCAAATTACTTAATCCCTCTAATCCTGAAAATCTAGGAAACAGAACTAATAATAGAATCTGTATTGTAGGGTTGTTTAGAGAATTAAATTAGATACCATAAAAACCCATGCATAGCCCTGACCGGTTTGGCTCAGCGGTTAGAGCATCGGCCTGCGGTCCCGAGAGACCCGGGTTTGGTTCCCGCCAAGGGCATGTAGTTTGGTTGTAGTTTGTCCCCGGCCTTGGTTGGGTCGTGAGGGTGGCAGCCACTCGATGTGTCCCTTTCACGTCAATGTTTCTCTCTCTCTCTCTCTTCCTCCCACTCTGTCTGAATAAAAAATGGAAAAGTGTCCTTGGGTGAGAATAAAAAAAAACCTTGCATAAAGGAGACACATAGTAAACAACAGCTATTATCCGTACCATCCCCATTCCTGTTACTATTTCCGTCACAAGCGCATACAGACCTATGTTCTGATACGGAATGGTGAAACTCTGCTCGAGATTCCAGGACAAGGTGGAGAGATAAAGGCAGAGTGGCATCATTCCCAGGGCAGCCACAGTGGAACAGGTTGTCATACTGATGCTGAAAATAAAACAACGTGTGAGAGAGTGAGCTTGAAATGAAGAAGTTAGTTCCCTAACAAAAAACAACTCTTGGACACAACTTCTTAAAGATTATATGGAGTAACTTACTTGAAGCTCACTCCTGTCTTATTATACAACAAATAATGGCTGCACCTGTGGTCTAGAAAAAGATGTCCAGCAGTTCTTGACACCCAAAGGTAAGCTTATTTACTCGAGGATGTACTAGTCCTACACAGTCTGCTAATTATAGTAATAAGAATGTTTTTCCTTATAGAGTTCTTTTCTATTGAGATATAATTTACAGACAATAAAATTCATCATTTTAAAGTGTTTTTAGACAGGCATATAGATCAGTGAACGGAACAGAGAGCCCAGAAATGAACTCACACCTGTATGGTCAATTAATATTTGACAAAGGAGCCCAGAGCACACAATGGGGTAAAGACCGTCTCTTCCATAAATGGGAAAATTGGACAGGTACATGCCAAAAAATGAAACAAGACCAACAACTTACACCATACACAAGAATAAACTCAAAATGGATAAAAGACTTAAATGTCATGAAACCATAAAAATCCTAGAAGAAAACCTAGACAATAAAATCTCAGACATCCCTCAAAGCAATATTTTTGCCATTATGTCTTGCACGATAAGGGAAACAAAAGGAAAAATAAACAAATGGGACTGCATCAAACTAAAAAGCTTCTGAACCGCAAAAGCAACCATCAAGCCCTAGTCACTTTGGGTCAACAGTTAGAGCATCGGTCTGTGAACTAAATGGTCTCAGGTTTGATTACTGGTCAAGGGCATGCACCTGGTTTGCAGGTTCAATCCCTGGACCCTGTTGGTTCTGCAGGGACAACCCAATCAATGTCTCCCTCACATTGATGTTTATCCCTCTTTCTCTACCCCTCCTTCCCTTCCACTCTATCTAAAAATTAATGGAAAAATATCCTTGGGTGAGGATTAGCAAAAACAACAAAAAAGAAAAGAAAGAAACCATCAACAACCAAAAAAGGAAGCACACTGTATGGAAGAACATATGTGCCAATGATACATCTGATAAGGGGTCCATTTCCAAAAAATATAAAGAACTTATACAACTCAACACCAGGAAGACAAACAATGCAACTAAAAAATGGGCAAAGGACATGAATAGATATTCTTCAAAGGGGACATACTGATGAACAAGAGACATGAAAAGAATGCTTCATGTCACTAATCATCAGAGAGATGCAAATTAAAACCACAAGGAGATATCACCTCACACCTGCCAGAAGAGCTGCCATCAACAAATCAACAAACAAGTGCTGGGGAGGGTGTGACGAAAAGGGAACCCTAGTGCACGGTTCGTGGGAATGCAGACTGGTGCAGCCACTGTGGATAATAGTATGGAGTTACCTCAAAAAATTAAAAATGAAACTGCCTTTGACCCAGCAATCTCACTTCTGGGAATATATCCTAAGAATCCCAAAACACCAGTTCGAAAGAATATATGCACCTATGTTCATAGCAGTGTTATTTACAATAGCTTAGATCTGGAAACAGCCCAAGTGCCCATCAGTAGATGAGCGCATAAAAAAGCCATGGTACATTTACACAATGGAATACTATTCAGCCATAAAAAAGAAGGAAATCTTACCTTTTGCAACAGCATCGGTGGTCTTGGAGATTATTATGCTAAGTGAAATAATTCAGTCAGAGAAAGACAAATACCGTATCATCTCACTTATATGTTCAATCTAATGAACAAAATAGAAACAGAAGCATAGATACATAGAACACATTGGCAACTGTCAGAGGGGAGGGGACTGGATGAATGAAGGTGACAGGATTAGCCAAAGAACATAATATGCATAACCCATAGACACAGACAACAGTGTGGTGGTGGCCAGAGGGAAGGGGGAGAGGGGACTGGGTGGAGGTGGGCAACGGAAGGGGGAGGGGAAATGGGGACATCTAAATTGTGTCAATAATAAAAATAAAGTTAAAAAATAAAAGAAAATTTAAAAATAAATAAACACAAAGTGTTCACAAGATTGTGCAACAACACTATTTCCAGAATATTTTCATCAAACCAAAAAAATAAATAAATAAACCACCCCATTAGCAGTCGCTCCCTGTTCCCCCTGGCAACCAATACTCAATCTACTTTCCATCTTTATAGGATTGCATATTCTTGACATTTCTTATAAATCCAATTATATGTGTGTCTGGCTTCTTTCACTTGGCATGTTTTCAAGGTTCATCCATGTTTCAGCATGTATCGGTAGTTCAGTCCTTTTTCTAATTGAATATTATCTTGATCACTGTAGTTTTATTACACTGTATGAAATAAATTATTGCTTCATAAATTTATAATGCTGTTTTTATTTTTCCAAATATGTAAGGTTTTATTTTTTAAGTCTTTACTTATTTTAATTGGAGAAAAACACTTGGTTGCACATGAAAATACATAAGCATGAATAATGACCAGGACCTGGGGAGCAGAGCTTTGGAAGGGCCCCCTGCTCTTCTCTGAGAAGAGGGAGAAGGACGCATGGCATGTCGGGAAAGCTCAGACAGACGTGGAGGAGCGCCAGGGGGTACATCCCATGACAGCTAAGAAAAGGGAGCTTCCGACTGAAGGGGAAATGCCAGCAGTTCAGGGAGGATGAGAACCCGAGAAGTCGATTTACTACCACCCAACCCAACTGTCCCCCAATGGTTTGTGTCTCTACCCCAAACCCACCCTTTCCAGCTCCACCTCCAACTCCCCAGCTGTTTTTTGTCCCTATGGGGGTTATAGAACCAGTGAAAGAATAAATCAGTAAAATTAGGGGAAATAAAGTAAATGGAAACGAGTTATCCTCCAGGCCAGTGAACATATTTTATCTTTAAATTACTGGAAACAATTACGTAATCTGTTCAAGCTCGTACGATCTATCTATGGACACGATGAATGCTGCCCTGCCGGAGGAGCTGGGCAACAGCACACCACGCACAACCGGGAGGGAGCGAGACTCATTCACTAAACATCAGGCCCCTACCGTCCACTGAGTGAGCGGGGCGTAGAGATGAAATGAGTGGGTCATATGTTAGTAATTGCTGAAGCTGGGTAACATGTATAGGAGGTTCACTATGCTGTTCTATTTACTTTTATATATATTTGGAGTCTTCAACAAAAATAAATAAATAAATAAATAAATAAATAAATAAATAAATAAATAAATAAATGTGTCCCTTCCTCTTTGTGGGGGACTGTGCAGTATTGCTACCAGAAGTAGGGCTACTTCTAGCATTATGCATACACCGCATGGAGGCATCTAAAACATGTCCTGGCCAACCCTGGCCAGCTTTTCCATCCTCAGCACTGCTGGGTACCACCTCTCTGCACCTGTGCTCACTCCTGGGGATGGATGACTGCCATTGCCCTCTGGACTCCCTTTTATTGGCATTACCTCATGTGCAGCGCGCATGCTGTACCCTACATGAGAGCCATGTCCCTGTCGAGGTGACCCAGACTGTGAGCTGTGAGACGGTGAGGGCCTTATTGATCTCTCCATTCCTAGGAACCGGCATAGCGCATGCTGCAAAACACTGGAGAAGCTCATCATATCCTTGTTGAATAAGTACCCGATCAAAGGACGAACCAGTATGGCACATACACTGGTGCTAGGAAAATGTTCTTTCTGCCTTCCTCGTGGGTCGTGTGACTGCAGGTGAGCCTTGCAAATCTTAGTCACATGACCCTTTTACACTAAATTCAAATGGTAGACACCCCCTCTAAATCCAGAGGAATGGAGACTTTCTATTAAAACATAATTGAAATCGTGCTCTTCTGAGTACAAATGTAACATTTTCAGGAACAGCTATTTCTCTGATTGGTGCCCCTTTCAGAAATCCAGACTTAGGGCATTCACAAGTATCTGTAAACACCCCTACCCCTCTTCTATTTTTCTATTAAGCAGTCTTGTTTCACACATGTTTGTTCAATGAATAAAGGTTTATTCTTTGTTTTTTTCTTTTTGAAGTAATCACACAATACACATCACTCTGTGATTTGGTTGGGGTTTTTTTCTTCTCTTAATATCATAGACATCCTTTCAGGACATCACATATAGATTAAGATCATTATTTTTAAAAATGGCAGAGTACACCATAATATATATATGCCATAATTTCTTCAATCACTTTGTTAATGCTGAATAAATTGTTTTGAGTGTTTTTCCATTGTAGACAATGCTGTAATAAGCATTCTCTTACATATTTTATTTGAAATAATTCTTTTATTTCTGTAGAATAGATTTCCAAAAGTGGAATTGTTATGTCAAAAGTCTGTTTTTCATTTTAAAATAGTACAACATTATTCTCCAAAAAGACTGTTGCATGCCACGGTCTTGCCCACACTGGACGCGGCCAATTCCTTTTCATCCTCAGGAGAACACTGAGAACGCATCTCTCTGCCGTCTTGTTACACACCCAACTCTCAGTGAGGTCATGTTTTCTTTCCTGCTTGCTGGCTTGTTGGAGGTCCTCTCTAAACAGCCTTGCTTGTCTAATTTTTTTTTTCTTTTCTCAACTTGTAGGAGCTCTTTTGCCCAGCCCATGTGACTCGGTAGATTGAGCAACATCCCACCGACTGAGAGGTCCCAGTTCGGTTCCCGGTCAGGGCACATGCCCGGTTGCAGGCTCAATCCCCATTAGGGAGCGTGCAGGAGGCAGCTGATCAATGTTTCTCTCGCACATGGATGTTTCTACCTCTATCTCCCATCCTCTCTCTCTAAAAAATCAATAAAAACATATTTAAATAATAATAATGATAAAATTAGGGTACATATCATCATGTGTAATACAGATATCTTTGCCAAGCTTATTGTATATTCTTGACCATGCTTATAACTTTTGCCATAATAAATCGTTCATACTGAGATAGTCAAATCTGTCCATTTTTATGGTTTTTAAGTTTCTTGTCTTGTTAAAGATTTCCCCCATCCTGAGGTTTTCAAACATTGCCCT